TTATTCTTGATAAGTCCATGCTAGAACATCCATTATTCCCTGAATGCCTTCTAGATAGTTTGTTTTTCCTAACTGTTTCTTAAGATCTGAAGTCTGAGAGACCAATTAGAAACCTCAGGGTTTTGCATTTCTGGGGTTTGTTTTGGTTTTGTTGTTTGTTTGGGTTTTTTTTTGTGTGGCTGAAAGTGAAGAACAGCATTTGCCATTTTCCAGCCTCTTGTAAAGCTACCTGCTCCCCCTGTAATGGCAGGGCTCAAACTGCTCAGGCAGACATGTTCCGGGATAAACGTTACTAAGCTCAGCCAACCTGTACACCTCTAATTCCTGGACATCTTAGTACTTCTGAATATAGTTTCACTAACTAGCTCTCCACTACAGTCATGCACTGCAGAGAACATAACCATGACATATGCTGTACCATTAACATGATGAGTTTTTCCTGACAGTTTCTCCAAACCTGCACCTTACAGCTGCAGCTGTTTTCTTTCAGGCCAAGAAACACAGAAGCAGCAAGAACTCATGCACACAACACATTTATTTCCATACTACATTAATGTATAGCCCTTATGATATGTATCAGGTACGCCTGTAAAAATAACATAGAAACAATGCAGATTTTGATTTCAGGAAAACACAAATCACAGCCTCTCTATACTGATTACGTGTTGTAATATTGCAGTACCTAAAGAGTTAACAGTTGCAATAAGCCCAAGACAAGCTTTTTGTAGGAAGAGAATTTCTTCCTCTTTGTTTGAAGCATAAATTTGTTCTACCATGAGATATTCCCAGTATACCCATGAACCATGACAAGCTAAGGTCACCGATTCAAGGTTTGTTGGTTTGGGGGTTTTTAAAACTAAAAATAACAGAGCTGGAACGCATGGTTGTGGTCAAACAGTGATAAAATAAAGAACAGATAAAGCCACAAATAAAATTTTTGAGATTCTCAAGCTTGGTTTTGTTGAAGGAGGGGAAGTAGTGCCATTTAATCAAAAGCACAAAGCACCAAGTGTTTGTAACAGTGAACAGGGAAGCCAAGGCTCAAAGAGGGCTGAAATTCAATGCAGAAGGCTGGTTTTCTAAATCACAGCCACAGTGCAGGAGAGACAGGAACAAAGGAACAGGACATTCATTTGCCTAGAAGTGTTTGTTACAAAAATACATCAACTGCAAGGAGACATGCTTTGCAACTGCAATATAAAGTAATAATATTTAGGACAGCAGTAGCTGCTAGGTGAGTTTTCAACTCAGTCATCACCATTTGAAAATCCTCAGGTTCAGCAGGACTATAACTACACCTTACTCTCCCCCAACTTCAACCCAACCCAACAAAGCACATCTATGATAACCAAAAAGTTGGCTGGTTATTCAAGAGATACAAATTTAGCTCTTAGCATAGCGTTCGAAGTAAACTATCTTTTGACATGTGAAAGTGCTTGGAGCCTACCCAAAAAGCTCCTGCCAGTTTTATTTTTTCTTGCCTCTTGTTCAGAGAGGATTCATAGGCATTACTTAAGTTGGTTCAGTTCATCAAATGTTTTTGAGGCTACTTTGGAGTATCAAAGACACTAAAAAGTTTGGTTTAAAAAAAAAAAACAAACCAAAACCCCCAAAAAACCACAACCCAACCACCACCCCCCCAAAAAAAAACAAAACAAAAAAGCAAAAAAAAAAAAAAAAAGAAAAAAGAGGACAACTTTCAGGTACATACACCAGAGTCAAACACCACCGCTGCTGCATCTGATAAACGCTCCAAGTGGCACAGACAGAAAGAACTTGAGCAAAAAGAAACCTTTCATCATGTAAAACAATGCTGTGGTACCCCAGCCTGCCTACTACCCAATGGGCTTCAGAAAACCCACCCCTTCAGATACTTCCCAGTATCTTACCAGAAAAGTCCTGTAAAAGACCAAGGAAAAAAGACACTTGGCTTTGCAGACTGACCACATTAGACTGAGGGAAAACCTGTTAGGCAGAAAAACCCCAACAGTGCAGAATAGTGGGTGCCTGATTACTCAGGGGTGAAGCAAAGAAGAACATGGGAATTGCTCTGGGGACTGACAGCCTGAGAGGCAGCAGCTCATAAGCAAAGCAGTGAGACATGTCAGATGTAGAAGGACTGGGGACTGTGCAAAGCAATGGCGTGAGCAAGCTTACATTAAATAGATGACGCCTGCATCTAGGTATGGCCAACAGGTATTGCCCTGAGAGATCAAGAAACATGATAGTCTGTCCCATTACAAGGCTTACTTTTACATCATCTTCTCGTAAGGCTTACATTATCTTCTTGGGATTAACCTGGTGTCTATGATTAGCCAGAAGATTTTAGCCTGAGAAAGTTCTTATTCAAAGGAGACGAGCGATACACAAATTTGTACTAAAATAAAACTAGAACTTGTTCACTTGCTGCAACATCATATGGTTTCCTTCTATACAGGGCAAGGAATGGTTGGTAATACTCAGTGACTGCACACACCTGCTTCCTGAAGGGCATGAAGCTGTATGGAGAAAAAACAAAACAAAAAAAAAATCCAACTCTTCTGTTAACATCTAAGGGGGCTCTGGAAGTCTCTTGTCCAGCCTTCTATTTAAGTGGAGCCATCACCAATGATGATCAGGGCTGTTGTAGCTTTGAAGAACTAAGTCCTGAACTTTTTAAGGAATGGAGATCTACCACCTCTCATAAATTGTTACCTGTCCTTTGCCACCCTCTTTGTGAGCAAGTTTTTCCTGAAGCCCTTACAGAACCTCCCATACTACAATTCAGAGCTGTAGCCCCTTGTTGTGCTATGTAGGGCTTGACCCCAGTCTTGTAACTAACCTCTCAACAGTCGTACGCTCCTGTCAGATCACCCTGCACCCTCTCTTCACAGGCTAACCCTGCCCTGCTCCCTCAGCTCTCTTCATAGCTCACATGTCCTAGGACCCTTACTACCCTGGACACTCTCCAGTTTTTCAGCATCTCTTAAGCGAGAAGACCCAAATGAAGACACAGTGTTTTAAGTGACGCACCCCCAGTGCAATGCCAAAGAGGTAATAACTTCCCTCAATCTTCTAGTCATGCTCTTCCTAAGATGACCCAGCACATGGGTTGCCTTATTACATGATGAGCGTACAGTTGGCTCGTGCTCAATTTCATATTCAAAGAAAGAAGTCAATTTATGGTTCATACACTGGGTTTTTAAACAATGTAAATTGAGAGCTAAACACCCAGAAGCTAGAATCCATTAACATATATTTGAACAGTGCCTTTAAAGAGTCATGGTGGACAGAAAGTCAAAGCCAGCATGGTAATAACGGAGGCCATTAGAAGTTCATGTCAGACTGATGCACGGGCACAACCACTCTTTCCAGTCTAAAAACAGTTCATTGGCTTTGAGTTCAGAAACACAAGACTGCATTAGTGCAGGAATCAAACAAGGAAAGTCTTTGCCCTGAGTGCCAGCTTAGTCAGAGAAGTTTGTCCTAAAGTAGCCTACCAAATCCAATTTTACTCTGCAGACTTCCTCTCACCCATGAAAAGGGCAAGAAAAATATGCATGAGAGGCTGCTTAACATGCAAATAGAAGGCACTGAAACTACTCTATTAAAAGACCATTATGAGAATCTACATTGGAGCAGAAAATTTAAAAAAGGGTGTAATACGTAAGATAAATATCTAAATAATAAGTATGTAAGTATCTAATATGTAAAAGAGAGACTTTAGATTCAGATTTTTTTCTTCAGACCTTGCAGCTAATACATAGAAAATGTGAGTATGAATTCATCACTGCATGGTCAGTATCAAAAAGGTACTGCACAATACAATTTAGGCAGGATGGGAACCTCAAACAACAGCAAAAAATATTACATTTACTCGGATTCAGACACTTAAGAGCAGCAAAAATCGAGATAGAAAGGTGAGCCCAATGTCAACACAGCAAAGGTTATTAAAAAATATGCTTGGGTCCTTTTAAAATGCAACAAGAGACACTCCCAGTATGATGAGAAGCAATAACCTGTGCTGGAATTTGTCTCTATCAGTCAATATTTAGGAAAACAAAACAAAACAAATCCACAAGAGTTGCCACTGCCTCAGAGATTTGTCACTGAGGTTAGGAGAGCAATCCTGGTTTTAACCAGCAACAGAATCAGGAGTTACTGACCAATTTATTAACTAGTAGAATAAGCACCAAAAGTTTTAAATTCAATAATCATTGATTTGGAAGGTACTTTACCAGTAAAGGACCTCAAACTAGGTTAAAAGAAAGTTCTTCAAATATTTTCATTCGTATCTTGTGATTCTGGAGAGGGCTTTCCAATGCACTCAACCATTCTCTGGGTCTTCACGTGCTCAGACCAGAACTGATATTCAATCTACTGGTGTGAATGAAACCCAGAAAGGGTAGTGCAAGAGGATGTTTTGTAGGTTCCTTGGTTCTCAGTTTTCTGAGATGTTTCCATCAGCATTAATGATTCCCAATTGTTAATTCCCTAATCCCTCCCAGCCTTGGCATCCCTTATCCCATTTTCTCATCCCAGCAACTTCTTCTTTACACATGTTGCTGCTGCTCAACTGCAGAGACAATAAGAACATATTTGCTTGTGAATGAACTGCAACTTTTTCTGAAGTTATTCTCAGCCATTAGGCTCAGAAGTGCCACCTTATCAAGATGGGTGCTCCTCAGCCATTGCACTATAAGGTTTCCTTACTGAGAGTAGGTGAAACCAACAACACAGAAGATCAACAAAGAGTCACAGGGCAGGCTTCCTATGGTTACCAACTGTTCTGTATCTTCAGCTTTTCAGTGCTATGGATTTGGTGTTACCTAAACAGCAGTTGGGTTTTGTCCCCAGCAAGCTGGGCTGATGGAAGAAACACACTCTTTTGGGTTCTCAGACAAAGGTAATGCCCAAGATTTGATAGAGAGCTGATGAGACAAGTGTTGCACCATGTAACAGATGTTGCCCTTAAGAACAAGGGCAGGAAAAAAGAGGCAGCATACTTCACCCTGCAGTACCTGACTGGAAGACGTATCTGGCTAAGCCTTGCATTAACTCTGCTGGCCAAGTAGGTGGTGCTGACTCCCCCGTTTCTCTCTTTAGGCGAAACGTCAGCTCAAATCCAAAACCACTTGGTCCGTCCGTTCCTGTAAACCTGGAGGGAATGAAAAATAGAAAGTCACGACATATTCCTTGTAACCAGAGCAAGCTTCAAGATTAGGACCATGGAAAACTTATGAGTGTTCTCATAGGAAAGATAAGTTTAGTAATTCTCTTATTTCAGTCTACTCTGTCCTGAATGGAAAAACATTGTTAGGTTAGCTGACGTAATACAATTTAAAAGATAACTATCATTGTAGTGTTTTCAGTCAAAATAACAGAGCCTTGGAAACGTGACTTCTTTCCCGGGACAGGTAGAGTTTGCAGCAACCTGAATTTGGTTTTAAAACATCATTGTAAGTTTCGCACTGATACCTAATGGGAATAGCAAAGAAAGTGTGTAACAGAAAATAATGTTACTCCACCCTTGTGAATTTAATTTTCTATACATTGAGAAGTGAGATGCAACTGAAGTATTGCATAGTAAGTTTCTGGGTTGAAACAACTGAGTATTTTGATGTATAACACATTTCTGTGTTGCAGATGGTCAGCATGGGAGAGGCAAAACAAGAGGATACAGGCAGAAAGTTATTAATCTCTCATACAACGCAGTAATTCTTATTTTGCTCCAATACGTGCCTGCACACATTCTCCTTATCTGTAGAGGAGAAAAAAAAAAAAAAAAAGCACTGAACAGGACAACTACTCTTCAAGAAGCACCAGTTTGGGCATTTCCCCATTTGACATAAATAGGTGCCAGTTTATTTGGTTTGGTCAGATAGTGTCTACCCGAAAGCATAAAGTCATAATTGAAGTATCAAGGCTACAGCACAATGGAGTAAATAGAAGATACCACAAACTACTCTTTACTTCAACAAAACTAGAGCTCAGAAATCCTTCTTTTATATATATATATATATATATATACATACACACACACACACACACACACACATGCACACACACAAAAGGGAAATTTGTTGTTCCAAGTCCCCAACAACTCAAATTGCCACATTTGCCTGTGGAAAATAAGCAACCTCATAGCTTGAGAAACTGAAAGCAAGTCAAGGATATCTGTGTCTTTTTTACCACTGTTATGGCATGCCTTGCTTGTTTGCTGTGGATATTCCACAAAGAAAGATTTACTCTGAGCATAAAGACATCTCACAGAAGCTTTCACAAATCAGTATCATTTTGCCAGTTCAAATCTCCAACACCTGCAGCCATTGGCAAATTCTCTGGAGAAACTTTGCAAATGTCTTGGATGCTGGTACCTTGCTGGCACATATGAAAGTCACAACACACAAAGCCTTAACATTGTACTATGTCTTAAACCAGTGAAACAGAGCAGTAGGGATAGTAACGACAGCATTTTCCATTTGAAAAGCAACGCTCAGCAGCAATGTAGTGACCGGCTCCAAGTGCCGGAAGGGTTGTTCCAACAGTTCCAAAAGACTTTGAAACACAAATGCTTTATGGTGACTCTACCTAATGACGTGTTAAAACTGATCTGACTTAAGCATTGATACCACTCCATCAACATGCAATGTAACTTCATTTGAGGATTTTTCAAGGAACGTTTGATGCAATGAAAGCAGTTAAGAAGGACAGAGCTAGACTATGAGACAGTCCAAAGAGATAACAGCAATTACAGTACTGAATACAATGCTGAACCCCACAATTTTGAGTGAAAGTCTCTTCTAAACACCACTAAAATACTGAAAAGAATAAAAATCTCTGACTGAAACCAAGGGAGTATGTACTGAAAGTCAGACAGACATCTGCAATACAAGGGAATAAGCAATATAGCAAATAAAGTCTTTATTTCATTAGTAAAATTCGATGTCCATTTTTATTTATCTCTACATTCTCCTCGGCAAAGAATTTGAGAATTACATACTACTGAATCAAACTCTCTATGAAGAGAGCAGTAAACACATTTCAGAATGGTCAAATGGTACACATAAAACCTCTTTTGGGAAAGAAGTGCAGCTTTAAGCAACAAGCCAAATAATTACATTTGGTTCTTAAACAAAGCAAGAGCTTACTGAATAACCAGCCAGCCAGGGAGTGGAATCTGGATATGCAGTGAAACCCGTGTTCTGCAATCACACATACAGGCCTACCGAAAAGACTGACACAGGATGGTGATAGCCTCTCAAATGCAAAGTTGTACTTTGCACATTCAGCACCCCTGTAGTGTTTTATTAGTTTCACATATCAGTTAGCAAAGGAAAACCAGAAATATTTCTTAAAGGGAGAAACAAAAATGCTTCAAAGTGGGTAGTTTTCAAGGACTGATTCCAGGAAAAAGCATACAGCAGAAACTGAAACACATTATGAACGGGTCAATTTTAAGAAAGATCAAGTTAACAAAAAGCCTCCAAGCTGATCTTTCACAGTTTAAATTTTGGAAAGTAAGATGGCTCCTTATTGAATTTCCTCCTTTCAAGGCCCATTCTGAAACAACATAGCTTTACTTCTAATATGTATCAAACTAGAGTTTAGTGGGGGCTTTTTGAACTCCACAGATCTCTCTCCACTTCCCAGAAATAACTGTTAAAGAAAACACAATACATGCTTTATATTGATCCACGCGCAAGTTACAGGGTAACAGAAGTGTTCAGGTGATTATCCATAAAATGAAAGCAAGGTGAACATTTAGGAAAACATCGGTCAACAACATATCAGTAGTTGCAAAGCAGTAAAACTGAGAGGCAATGTTTCTTACATGATTTTTTTAATATAGTAATAAAATAGACACTAATACAGAGAAGATCTACTAGAAAATAAATAGAATTAAAGATAAAGAAATGAGGAGTTACTTCCCTTGAAAGACTTGGAAAAAACCCCAAACCCTCAAGAATAAAACATGCATCTTCTAAAACCACTAAAAACCACAGCAACACACAATGCTTAAACTCTCAAATTATAAAATTAACAGTTACATTTCAGAAGAGTCCTATCCGCATGTAAGAGATTTGTAATTAAATATTAGATTTCAAATGTTTTTTTTTTTAATAGTTAATGGTCACAGGTTGCTGAAAATACATGGCTTTGTCACAGTGAAAATTATACATGCAATTCACCTCCATTGTGCAGCTGTTCCAAGATAACAGTCTATAAAGTAAAAGTCTGATCTGTTTAATTTTAGGTTGGCAACCTGATTTTGAAGAAATTGTGACACGTGGCTTTAAAAGCCTGTGATTATTTTAGAAATCCTTTATATTTCATTCAGGCAAGTTCTTCATAGGAAGAAATGCTAATATTCAGAGTGTAATTAGGTAGTTATTTTCGCTTAGCACTTTTACCAAAAATTTTGCTTTTACTCTTAAGAATAAGAAGTCTTGAATTAGAAAGTAAGTTGAATGTAGTTTCAATAGGTGCCATAAAATTTCTTTCAAATGAACAGAGACCATAATCTGATGGACCGAGAATGGAGGTAGATGTGAGCTTTCAGAACTAAACAAACTATAACCATGTCACAGGATTCTGACTCTTGGTCTAACAAAAATCACAGAGAAGAATCCTGGTACTGAGTTATACAGCTTGGCTTCTCCTACAGAAGAGCTTTTCACTACGGAGTGAGTGCTTACACTGCCCTGGACTCCAAAATTTGTGAGGGTAAGGATGCATCAGTCCATTGACAGAGGAGCAAGTAGCACCCACAGCCAACAAACATGTGGGAAATGAATTTGCCCAGTAAAAAGCCTGAGACCTCCAGATATGCACACCATAGGAACAGAAGCCCAAGAAAATGGCTTTTTATCCCCACAAAGATAAAGAGACTCCTCCCTTATATCTGGGCTGTAAGCAGCTGCTCATTCTCCCAGCTTATTTGTGTTCATTTTTGTTCAAGATCTTACCAGCAAGACAAAAGATACACCTATCATAATCAAGAAATCCACCCATAATCAGGGAACTAATAAAATGAGACTCCTCATAAACAAGTTCATTTATACCGAGACGATCCATTGCTTTAATGTGGACACACTGAATTCCCATGGCAGCTGCCTCCTTGTAGGGTACATCCCCACTGCTTAAGTGTTATCTTAGGAGGATGCCAAGGAACTGGACATAAAAGGATCACACCTTGCAGGCTTGTTGATGTTCAAACAGTCTTGTTGATGTTCAAACAGTCTCCTTCCCAAATGTTCCAAATTTTCACTGAACTTCCTTCCAGAAAAATCCAACTACAGTCAACCAACACATTAAAAACTCCTATAGTTCTGGAAGAGACAGATGGAACAAACCTCATTTCCGCAGAAAACTGGGTGAAGGTATGAGGATAACCCAGAGGTGGAAGAAATCCTGCTAAAGCACACAGAGACAAGGTTTGCTCATGATCCACTACCTGAACTAACTTGCTCCTTCCAACTGGGCACCAAAGCCTCTGCAGCAGGTTACCCTGATCCCAACTCCTGTGTCAACTGCAGAAGTAATGCTTTTATTGCACACTTTATGTTTTACAGAAGCCACATTCTGGCACAGTTATTAGGAGCAGGTTTCTTTGTAAGCAGCGGAGGTGGCAACTGCGGTGGTGGGGCTTTTTGGCTGAGGTTTAGTTGTTCACTTTGGTGTTGTTTTGTTTGGCTTTTTCTTAAATCTGAAGGTGACCAATTCAGACTATAGCCATAGAACAAAGGCTTTGGAGCTCAGATCAGCATCTCAACACTGACGTGCTTTACAGGTCATTTCTTCAGCAAAATGATTACAATCCAGTAATCCAAAAGAGCCTCAGCTTTACAGTAAGACCATGATATGAGAATGGAGTGTGTGCAGGAAAGGAACCTCAGAATTAGTATCCTGTATCTTGTGCGTAGCCTCAGGTACATGAACTAAAAGCTGCAACACAGCAGTAAGTTTCTTTACTAACAGACCCTAGTATGTCACATAGCTTGATTTATGCCTTGCTTCTGATGAACCCTACAGTTTGAAGTGAAAGTTTCTTTTGAACACCCCTAAAATACTAAGAAGGAAAACAAATACATTTATATTTTGGCCGTAAACTGAAGATGCTAACTATAAAGAGACAGCATGAACCGTATTGTGCCT